AACATCAGACACAAATATTGAGATGTTCTTCAAAGGTAACTAGGATATATATCGATTAGTTGAAAAGCACCAAAGAGTTTAGAGATTTATGAATATTTGAAAACTTCAGTTTTTGGGCGTTTCTGTCGAGTAAATTTGATGGGTGCTGTAAGTATTTTGTTCGAACGAAGAAATTTCGCTGATAAATTCGATTTATATGTTTTTCGTGTGGAAAATAAGTTGGATAAAAAAGTATCCACTTATTCATTGACTTTTTTTACTTCTCATTTTCCAACGATCTTCGTGTTAATCATAAGTTTGTGAGACTATTTTCTCACAATTAGATGACTATAAATAAAAATTGCATAGTAAATAAATATACTTAAAGTATGTACCGACTGCATTCCTCTCTACTCAGTAAATAGATGAATAATTTGTGTCAAATACATCCTGTCAGACTCTTTTAAATGCATAATTTTTTAATCAAACAACACACACACACACATGCTGTAATCTTTCATATGAGAGAACAAGAGAATGTCTAACAAATTCTTCTAAAAAACTACAGACTATAAAAATTTTCCACTAGAAGGTATACACATATTCGTATTGTTTTTATATTTAGATTGATCTTCCGTTTGTTTAGATGTCGATTATAAGCTACACGGATATAAATACGCTATCGATAAAAGAGGTCATGATAACATTTTATAGTATTTCTCTACTGTTGATGATTCTTGCACGGTTATTATTTAATAGCAGTTTTATCAATAACATACGAAAACGTTTTATTATTCTTTTTTTTTCGTTCATTATTTCTTTCTGAAAATACATAGTCTCTAATAGGATAAGTGATGAAAGGTATACATACACTTCAATCAAATCAAATACACTTGTTGACATTTCTATCATCAATATTAGTGAAGAGACAATTAATTTAGGAAAAATTTGTTTCTTTCGAAACAAGTCTTGTTTTATACTGTGACTAAATACAAAGATATCTAATTTTACAGTTCTTCCACTTTTTATTAATCTAAAAGCTAATATTTTAAGAAATAGAGCAGACATTTCTGACCAAAATGAGATATCTCCAAGCTCTAAATGATGTTCTAATCAAGTATTATGAAAGTTTTGCTCGAAGCTCTAAACATGCATCAGATGCTGACGCCACGATATCTCGAATACGACTTTCATTTTAACACCATTTCGTAGCTGCAAGTTTTCTTGGTAATGAAACATCGTAGTGAACCATAGAAGGTCTTAAATTGAAGCTGACACATGTGACTATAGGCTAATAGAGTCCGATTTTTGAGATTCGATCTAGAGTTGTGGTCAGAAAAATATCTTTATGAAAGTTAATGAGACTTTTTCGAATTTTGGACTTGTGACGCTGACCATTAATTTGAAAAGTAAAGTATAAAAAATCCGACTCTATTAACCTCTACCCACAAGTGTTTTCATCAGCTAAAGGCCAGTCCGAGTCCTCCGCAACGTTTCGTTACTGAGAAGTCTTGCAGCTACGAATAGCCCCATTTTGGTCACTGTTGTGGCGATCTCCTAAAAGTTTGGTCAAGATTCGACTCATACTTTCAGAGATACGTTTCTGACGGAGGGTCTTGAAAAAACCGTCAGTTCATCCGAAATTAGCTATCCGTAAGATCATGTGGTGCTGAATTCGCTATGATAAATCAGTTGATGATACAATAGTGCGCTTGGAGTGATTGATTACTAAGCTAAATAGAAAGTGAATAAAAATAACAATACAAGAGCAGCTGATTTAACCATTATATAATCCTTTCTAACGATTCACTTTTATTAGAAAATCGTTTTCAGTAAATCAATTCGACTAGATCTTCTTCACACAATAATATGCAGCAAAATCTTGATAAAATAGCCAAAATTACAGTTTTTCTATCAAGTATCATATCTGGTTAGTTTTCAATGATTATTTGTACAAAATGTAAAGAAGTGCACAAACAAACCAGTTCTATAGAACTCGACAAACGGCATTTATGCCATATATATATTTGAACTTTCAAAGAGGGAAATAACCTCATAGCACGTTCTGAAACTTATTAATTTATTCAGAAGTCGGTTAAATATGCATGGGCATAATAGCAGTTCTTGGATACAATCCTATGCTACCCGTCGGTGATGATCACATTTACTGAATGATCGATTTCGTCATCTTTTTCTAGAAAGTAATTCCTTCAGAGTGACAGAATATTCTGAACTTATAAATTTTATTTCACTACAACCTTCAACTCGGAGAAAATGGTCCGAAATATTTTTATTACTTGAAAATAACTAAACAAATGGTTTTTTGCTAAAAATCATTTAAACAACAAAAAGTGATGAAGGAGATTGCTTAACAGATCAGAACAAACTTTTACAAAACCGATACATACTTTTATTTCCTGGTAGTTGATGATTCGAATAATATGTGAAAGTCGAGTAAAGCTCTTCAGAAAAGATCCAGGTGTCACAGTATTCAGTAGGGATGTTCGGTTCTCGGTTCCGGTTCTTCAGGAGAACCGAAAACCGAACATTCCTCGTAAGTTAAGGTAACTATTAACTTTCAATAGTTCTGCTCAGCCGTTTATTATTATTATTTATGTTATTACTATGTGCGTGATAACAAATCTGAGACTTTACACTTGGTGACGTTCTGTTATAAAACTACTTGATGTTGATCAATTTAGAAATAGTTTTTAAATTTTTTGTCGTATCGGAAATTCTTTCCTCTCTAAATATATGCTCGGATGATCAAAAAAGAGTTTATATCGAGTAGAGTGCATTTAGTTCCCCTTTCTTGTTTTCAACAAGTAAATTCAAATTTTGAATGAAATAATACAATAGGAAAACAGATGAAACATTTTCATATGAAAAACTTTGAGTTAAAAGGTATAAAAACAATGTACTTCCTGTTTTCTTTGATTCTATCAATTGTATGTTCAACAATCGATGCCAACAATGATCAGTCTTATCCACCTATACGTACAATGACAATAAAAATACGTTCACATTCAATTTATAAACTTGGTTATTTCGCTAATTTTATAGAAAATTATACATCCAGTTCAATAATGAGGTGTACATTAATATGTCAAAATAATGATTACTGTCGAACAGCAACCTATTACCCGTCACCCTTGTTCATATGTTCATTATATGAAGAATATTCTTATGTTGGACAGTTGTTAACAGATTCATCCTTGTATTCATCATCTGTTATTTTATTTCAATTATGTCCAACAGGTTACACAGAACCCTATTATCTTTGTTTTGGTACATCACGTGATCCTATTCCATATGCCCTTGCTCTCAATCAGACACAATTGATAACAACAATTACAAATTTAGAAATATTTCTGCCACGTATGAGCACAAAATATTTATATTTACCATTGCATAAAGATGATAATATTTATTTATATGATTTAACATCATCATATAGCTTTGTACAAGAATTAATATTAAAACCAAATATGAGATCAGTCATCTAAGACATCCGCATGATTTTTCCGAGCCTGATACCACCAAAATTCAGAGAAATGTGTTGAAGAATAGTGATCGGTAAACATGACTGTTTTTTTGACTATTGTTACTGGTTTTGCGCCGTTAAATGCAATCAGTTTTTTTTACCTTAATTAATGGCTAAAACCTTCGTAAAACATCCCATTAATGGTGATATCATTCCTGAAATTCAAATTAATGACTCTTTCAAGTTGGTATCGCTTAAAAAATGTGATCTCAAATTAGAAGTTTTAATTAATATCAAACAAACATCAGAGAGAGCGGGAACCCAAGTGAGAGTGAGTGAAAAAAGTAAGTCTCAATGAAGAGGGGCGAACTCCCACAAAAGGTACTATTAAACCTTCTCAGATTGTAGAGAATACTTGACTGCATATATCCTGCATTGTTTTCGGAGAGACGATAAGTATTCACAGACTTATAAATTAATTAATATAAAAGTTTCGCAAAAAATTAAATTTCTGGACCTATTTTTAAAAATTTAACTGTTTAATCAAAACTAGCTATATGAACGTGATTCAAGTGTACTTTGATCGAGAATCCATGATCGTACCTAAGATATTTCTGGAAAAGCTATGCCGGGATATAGTTTGATCACTAATTAATCCTAATTAACGCCGATTACGGACAGTTCAGTGATTTACATTTTTATTTGCAGATCAACAATTCTATGAAAATGATCACACGATATATCATTCAAGTTAGCTTTTCAAGCGCTATTTATTTGCTTGTATATTTGCTTATCAAAAGAATAGGATTTTGACTGAGTTATGAATTTTTTAATTTTTAATAAAAATAGTCCAGAAGGGGTTATTTTACCTAGTACAGGTTTTTACTCCGTTTTGTTTGATAATCTATGTTTTCATGATTTCAGAAGTTACCAGAACGAAGAATAAAGCAGTCTCAAGGCTTCCGGGAAAACGTCCAGAGCTGCTAAACCAACCAAAGTGAAACCTTTGTTAGATCTTATTTTGTAGATGACACTTAGGACTATCTATCCATAAAAAGAAATTGGTTGCTTCCTGTGTAAAGTTTTAATCTAAAACAAACCAGGAGGGGTCCCCCCTTAAGAAGTAGCTCGAATTAATTTTAGTTATCTGACAGTTTTTTTATTGATTTTTTCGGCATTATGTTTTTTTTCTTATCCTGTTCACAACTTGTTCTAAAAAAATAAAACGTTTACTCAATATGTCGGACGCGACCATTACTATTGAGTTTTTGAATCTTTCGTGGACATCCTTGATGTATGATATTTATTGTAAAACGCAATATTGATATTGACTTTGCTCAAAATTATTATGCATATACAGGTTATAGTGGAATATTGGGGCTTTATATTACTAGTCCAGCAATGAATATAACCATTGCATCAACAATTCAATATTATGGTGTCTGTTTATGTGAAAATTATATTATTGCTACACAGGACTTACCTAATTCACCTGTCGATGTTTATTATCGTTCAAATGGTACATTTGCTTTTAATATTACTGGATTTAATATTCCAAACGCTTGTGGTGTGATCAATGATCAATTGTATGTTATTGCCAATAATAGTTATTTACAATCAATAGACCTGACAAATCGAACAACAGGCATAAAATCATGGCCTGTTATTAATGGTCTCAATCAAGGTTATACTAATATGGCTGTAGATGCGTCTGGACGAATATATACAGCTCTTAACGTAAATGGATTGCCATATTCAACAATTGTTAGTTCATTTATAAATAATACACCATTAGCAACCTACGCTACTTTCCCCTATTCTTGTGGTAAAGCATCAAAATATAAATACATATTTGTTGCTTCTTATCCATATTTGGCTCCTGTGACATCCTTTGTTAAAATATACGAATATTAAAAGCAACATTTGAAAAACAGTACAAAACGAGATCAAAAAGAACCTGTTCATATTTTCTTTTATACAGATCCAATCAATTTTATCAAGTTTATTTGAGGACTCTGCTTGAAACTCGGTTTTCTGGTTGCTTCTAGGAAATTAGGGTTTGACGTTAGTAGCTTGTTAGCTTTGATAAAAATATTGACGTCGATACTGAACAGAAAGACTGATGCCGGAGATCTCATGAAAGTCATATGTTTTCAGAAGAGTTTAAAGCTTTTTTTTTAACTACAGTAGTAGAAATTCACAAATATAGAGTGCAATATATTCTAAAAATTTGAGTCATTTTGATTCACTATTGACGGTATAATAGCGTTCTTACTGCTCATTAGTAATAGAAGAACATTGACTTCTTTCGAAAATTCTCTCTCCACAGTTTCAGTCATTCTTAGTAACAGAATAAGCATTATCGCGAGATTCAGCATGATGGACAACGTATGTTTCACGTAATTATACGGTCATCAGCCACTTAGTCACCCCGTACAGAAACTTAAGTATCTATTAAGCTTATTGTAAGCATCGTCAGTTTCGCTCAAGGAAACGGATCAAAGATCGCATGTTTTCATTATTCAAAACCCGCTAGCTCTACCGAGCTTTTGGATCAAACTTAACCAGTTTTCTCTCTAAAACTAATGCTAGAACTGGTCAAGGTCAATAAAAAAGTGCCGGGCTTGGTAAAATTTGGTGAAGGTTGATCGTTATCTGTATTTTTTAACAAACTTTACCAAGTTCGGCACTTTTTTATTGACCAGTTCTAGCATTAGTTTTGGATAGAGCAGAGAAAACTGGTTAAGACTGATCCAAAAGCTCGATAGAAATTGTGGATTTTGAATAAGGGAAACATGCGATCTTTGATGCAAGGTCCCGAAACTTGTAACATCTCTAGTAGCAACATTCTCATACATTTGATTTTCTTAAATGACATATTCTTTGAACAAGCACAAAAAACTCAACCTGATTATTGTTCAGGTCTTAAATAAATTTTCCATTGCCGAAAAAAAAATTAAATAAAGTACCATTAGAAAAATGAAGAAGCTAATTAACAATTATTATGAGAAAACCTTCCATCGGTCCAGAGTAATTTTTAGCACATCTTGTAAAAATGCACTACAATAAATTGAACTACAACCTTCGCATACATTAGGATTTCCAGGCTCTTTTCACATAATATTAAAAAATTCACCATTCACTTAGAAAACGTCAGAACATTTTGTACACTAAATATTGTTATATCATCGAAAAAACTGAGAAATCATGTTTTATTTTAAGGGTTTTTTAGAAACTTTTGTGGAAAACCATAGGGTTTAGTAAATTCTTTTTTGTAGATTTCTTATAAATAAAATATACAATAGTCTAAGTACTGTACATCATGATGTTTCCAACTCTTTCTTCGGTTTTCTAAGTGAATGGTGAAATTTTTAATATTATGTGAATAGAGCCTGAAAATCGTAATTTTCATAAAAATTGGTTTTCACTAGTTTTTTAAATCTTTTTCTAAAAACAAAAAATGTTTGCTTATGGAATCATGCCTCCAAGTCTCGTCTTTCGAATGCCGAAAATCCGAGCTCTCTAACTGTTTTCTGTTAAAAGTCATTGAAAAAATAGCAGAGTCTATTCTTTTTTTCAAACAGACAATAATACAATTATTTACTACTTATTTGCTACGCTTCACTATTAACATCCTACCTATTCATAAACGCCTTTCTTAACATGCTTTGACCTATTGATGATGAATCATGACTTTATACAAATGACAATCATGTTTAAAACAATTTTCATGAATATACTTTGTAATCGTACTTATTATTGAGCATTTTTCATCCTGTTTCGAAGATTATATTTCAATGTACTGTAGTGCATTTTGTAGAGAATTTTATTCTCTATAAGATGTGCTAAAAATTGCTCTAGACCGATGGAAGTTTTTCTCATAATAATTGTCTATTAGCTTCTTCATTTTTCTAATGGTACTTTATTTAATTTTTTTTTCGGCAATGAAAAATTTATTTAAGACCTGAACAATAATCAGGTTGAGTTTTTTGTGCTCGTTCGAAGAATGTGTCATTTAAGAAAATCAAATGTATGAGAGTGTTGCTATAATTAAAACAACAAGAAATACAGAATTCTTCAATCTTTTTAAAAAAACTTTTTTCTCAGCGATAAAAAGTTTTCAGAGGATAAAACTTAGATTTATAAGTAACTTTGGAAGGGGAATCCGAAAAGCGTATTTAAAAGAAATTTTATTTTTTGAATGTTTTCTCGTCTTTTTAACAATATTTTCTCGATTTTCTCACAAAGTCTCTCTTAAAAGTTTTGAAAATTTAAAATTCTCAACATCAAGTTTCAACTTTATAAACAGAAATATATACTACTATCTTCTGTTTTCTTTCTTTCGAATGAGATGTTGGTCAAAATTTTTAATTATCAATTTTATAGTGAGAATTCTGCTATCAGAGGATTTTTCCAGAAAATTAATGAGCCCATTTGTGTTGGCATTTTAAATTAGTTCAACATTTTGAATTGATTTAAAATACTTTAAGATCAAAACTTAGTTTCACGTAATTCAATATGCGACTTTGTTGGACTTTTTTAACGAGGAAATCTTTCCGAGTGGATTCCTGCTTGAATATAGTTGTTTAAGGAAGAACCTATGATATTATATGAAATTTCAGTTCCCAAGACCTTGAGTGAAAGATTCAAGAATCGAAGATCTTGTGACATTTCTTAATCCAAGATCTTGGATACACGAAGTTCCACTACGGCTCTTTTTTTGAGTTTCTAATAGAATAGAGTGAAGGAAGCATTGGTGAGAGTTGCAATTTTTACCGAACAATGTTTTTCAGTTTAAATTAACTAATAATCATTTAAGATTTCAATAGGTAGGTAATACTCTTCACTATGTATAGTGTAGTATTATAATCACTAATCCGACGCTAAAATCGGATGCTGTAGAATTCGTTTTTTAGCCATTATCAATCTGTGCGTGAAGAGTAGAATCAAAATGAGTTCAAAACATTAATTGTCAGTATCACTTTGCTTAGAGAAATTTTACATAAGGTTATTATACCCTAACGAAGAAAACCAAAGTGAGAAGCTATAAAGAAATAGAACAAATAATCTAAAATAAGTTTGTCAATACTCATTGATTATCAAATGTTTTTCTCAAATATGTGCTTAATTGATCGTCATTAATCTTGTTCTGTAAATGGTTTTCGTTTTACAACAAGTTCATTTTCTCCAGTTCTTGTATCATGTTCTCTTACGAATATAGCATCATTACATTCGGCTAAGAGAATTTCTATAGTTTGATGAACAATTAACGATTCAATTTGTCCACTAATGATATTTCCTCTTGCATCAGCAAAACTTCCATAAATATGATGTCCACCTTCTGAGTCAAATGTACCAACTAATGAAACAATATCACATGTTGAATTAATTGGTTTATATTCCAGTGTATTGGACAATTTTATAATACATGATTTAATGTTACCAATACAGGTTATAATAAATATTGATTTCAAATTACAATCGTCTATTAACTCGTGAAGCGATCCAATCAATTCTACTCCTGGACCATAACGTAGCGGATAACAACGTACACTCGTTGCTACTGGTACAACTAAAACTTCCACACGTTTAATAGATACTATTAAAAAACAGAGAGATCATACTTACTTTTTGACTTTCTCATTTGCTTCTTCTTTTCTCGATGTGCTTGATGGGCTTCTTTACGAGCAACGAATGCTTGATAAGTTCCAGATAGAAACGGCATGTTTTTTTATATCTGAAAAGAAGAAACATACTATAAAATTCTATTAAGACTTTTGCAAAATTATTATTGGTAAAATAGAGAATAACTACTTGTTAATGAAACGATAAGGACTTAGAAATATGTGTGCATACGGTTGCTCAATCAACAACCATGATAAGTTTACTTGTAAGTTGCACTCGCATTTTCACCAACTAGGACATTCTTCTTTTTTTTTGATATTGTAAACAAGAGAAGGACCCTCAAATTGTTATATCAAAACATCTTAAGTATCTTGACGTTCTTATCTTATTTTTCGTATCAGAAATAAATTTGATAATCGTTACGCACTAGTAAAATAACGGACACTGTCGAGCGATCAAAAATTCATAGATACATAGATAGGTTTGTGATAAAGAAACGCAGATGCCTAATCTATTTTCAAGGACTATCTGTCATAATGATATGATATGTACATCAACAATGAGCACGCCCGATTCAATTACCAATATCTTGTTAAGTTAGTATAAAAACACACATCACCTAAAAATCAAGATTTATAATATAAAATACATAAGGAGATAGAGCAAAGTAATCTCTATAAAATAATAAAAATCTGAATTTTATCTCCTTTCATTCTTAAGATATTGCGACAACAATCGGTGGCATTCTTCGACGACTGACACGGTGCATGTGTACTAAAAGGCTTTCAATTCAACTATTACCACGGATGATATAAAAAAATAGTCAATGATGAGTGCTGATCATAAATATATATTCAATTGTTTTTCTTTATCGTATTTTTCTCTAATTGGTATCACATTTCTACGATTACGCATATGCAGTATTCAAACTATGTCCATTATTTTTACGCTAGCAAATCATGTAAGGTGCAGCTAATGCAAACTTACAGTGGAATCTATTTTTGACTTTATTATACATATTCGGATTCAACTCAACGAACTGGTCACGAATAACGTCTTCCGAGCCTCCAAAAACCATTTCTTCATGGA